TCAGAGACGTGCAGCATCCTGTGCGAGGAGGTGCCGCTGGCTGCCGCTGCCCTGACCAGTGGCTGTGTGCAGGTGTGGACTCTAGGAGGGGTCCACTCAGGGCCACTGGGAGCTGCGGTCACATCGTGCACCCCTGGAAAGAGGAGGGGGCCGCCCGGGTATGCCGAGTGAGCCCTGACCAGCCCCGCCAGGGGTGGGCAGACGATCTTCCGAGCAGGGTGTCTCCATGGCTTGGTAAACAGTCATCTTTTCCCTGCAGAAACCCCTCGTCCCTTTGCTGCCTCCTGTCTCGGGGATCCGGCTCCCACTGGGCTGTTTGGAGGATGCGATTCCTTTTTAGGTCACTCAGACACTCCTCTCGCGAGAAAGCCTAACAAGGCCTGGCCGCTTCTATTTTTAGCGCTGACTCCTGGCCAGCGAGGGGCTGAGGGGCCAGGGAACGCCGGTGGCCCGGTGTCTGTACCATCCAGCACTGAGCCGCTGGCCGCGTGTGGCTGTGCACCACTTGAAATGCGGCCAGCGCTGGGTTTCAAACGTATCTAACTTCGGCTGATCGAAGCGGCCCCCCGGGCCCGAGGCTGCCTCCCCGCAGGGTGCAGCCCTGAGCCCGGCCACTGGGGCGTGGGCCGGCCGCTCCGTGGCCAAGCTCTATTTGTGCCCCGGGCTGTCGTTCCTGTCTCTCCGTTCCCGGTTCCTTTTGGGTTATCTCATTGTTGTGCACCCATTTCAATTTTTCTGTTGCTTTTCACTTTTTAAAAATATTCTTAAATGGTAGCTCTAGGTTTATGGTTTATGGGTCTGAACGTTTTACCGTCTGCTTCAGATTGGCACTGTGCCGCGACAGGTACGACGTGGAAACCTCGAACCCAAATAGGTCTCCACGTGGCACACGTGTGAGGCCTGCGTGCACTGGAAACCCCAGTGGGCGGTGTTGGGGTCAGCAAACCACCCCCACCCCCAGCCGCACCCCGCCTGCGGCCTGGTGCACGGCCTCACCAGCTCCCGTGGCTTCCTCTGCGGCCGCCATGTCCACACTGGCAGAGTGGAGCTGTTGCCACGGAGACGCCGTGGCCGCAAATCCAAAAAGGTTGATCTGGGTGTTCACGGAAAGTGTTTGCCCAGGCCTCCCCCCGTGGATTTCTCACGAGGGGCTGGCAGCCGTAGAGCCCCCAGATCTCTGTGGGCGGGGTGTTTTCTGTGGCTTTGGTGTCTGCAGGACACGTGGCAGAGCCGACAACCCTCGGGTTACACTTTATTGCACTGGATTTTCAAAAAAGGTTCTTCCATTGCTACCTTGATTTATATGTTGGTTTCAACAAGTCTGGGGCCAGTCTGTATATTCTTTAAAGTTTTAGTGTTAACTGGCCTTTTCCCTGGAGATCTCGAGGATTGTTTCCTTATCCCCGAGGCTCGCGGTCGAACTGTGCGCTGGGCTGCGTCTCTCAGGTGCCCTGTGAGCCCTCCCACCACGTCCGTGGGCTGCCGTTGCAGATGCCGGCACTGGGCCCCTCGGTCCTTCTCCCCGGGACTGCGAGGAGGCGGGCGCTCTGCGCCCCCTTCCGCTCCCGTGTCTCTCTCCCACTTTCTTGTTGCCGTGTATGCTTTCTCGGCCTGTTTCCCTGGCGTCAGGGCCCACGTGACTCCCCCCACCAGCAGATGCCCCGTGAGTACGCCGTGATTTGCTCTTTCTCTATGACGACTGGGTCTGTCTCTAGCGTTCTGCCCTTGGGTTAACCAGCACTCACTGTCTGTCTCACCCCCGGCCCCTTGCTTCTATCTTAGGGTCGCTCTTCACACTCTCAAAGGCTCGCTCGAGTGCCTTCCCTTTAATTCTGTTGCTGTGTAGGCTTGCAATTCCATTCTGCTTTGTGACTTTTTCTGGGTGGGGCCTTTTCCTCTGTTCGTATGTGTAAACTTTTTCTTTCTTTTTGCATCGGCTTTGTGGGGACTTGTTGAACTTTCTTTTGTTCACCTTAATGGTATTGGAGTGTTTCACGGGGTTCCTAGTGTAATAGCACCCTCTTCTGTCCATCCAGGCAAGTCCAGGTATGTGAGGGGCTTGCGAGTATCTGTCTGTCTCAGCGGGTCTGACTCTCCCTTTCCGTCTTTTCTCCTCTGTCTCCACTGCCCACGGCTGCCCCCCCGCCCCCGTCTCCCTCCTTCCCCAGAGCGGAGTCGCACACAGTGCCCACGCTCTGCAGCCTCTTCCTTGAGGACCTGCTGGCGAGCCGGGCTCTCCCGTGATTCCAGGCCCCGGGCTTCCTGACCCCAGGCCTCTGAGCCTCAGGCCCCCGGCTCGTCTCCCTGGAGCCGGGCTGTGCGTCTGCACGTCTGCAGTGCCGCCCCGCGTGCTCGCAGTGTGGGGCCATCTGCGGGGTCTTTGTAACCTCTGCTGTTGGTGGCTGGGGCTCTGCTCTGTTTGGTCTAGCAGAGGTGGCCGGCAGAGGTCCTGTCCCAGGCCCCCTCCGGCTGCTCCCCGCTCTCTGGGTTCCCTTCTTTCGCTCTCTCTGGGTTATTCATTTGCTGTGTCTGTCTGGTCCCCGTGCCAGGCGGCTGCAGTCTGTGGAGAGAGTGGGACTTCCCGGTGGGTGTGGCCCCTCTGAGTGTGGCTGGATATGCTGCCTCCCCTGCCTGTGCCCGCCTGTGTCCCCAAGGCTGGTGCTCGCTGTGAGACCCCAGGGAACTGACCCCGTTCCCCACACAGGACGAAGGGTGGTGGCCCCTGACCCGCGCTCTCCTGACGCTCAGCAGCTGGGCTCCAGGCCCCTGGGGTCTGTCTCCCGGCTCCCTGCGTGCTCCCCCCACCCTCGGCACCCTTCCTCAGACCGTGCTCCCCGGCTTCTGCCCCTCTGCCCTCAGCTGTCCTGTCAGCAGGGCGCTGGGTGCCGTGGGGCCGTCTTGGTGCGTCCCGGGTCTGCGTCCCTGTGCCCAGCAACCTGGGTGCTGGGGGTGGCATTCAGGATGGGGTGCAGCCCGTGCATGGGTCCAGTGGGGCATGGGAAAAGCCCGAGGGAACTTCCGTCCACACCCAGCTTTAGGGAAGGGCCAGGCAGGAGTACCTGGCCTCCCCATGTGGCCTAAACACATTTCCTGGTCTGAATTTTCCCCCTTTTTATTGTTTTTTTTTAAAGATTTTATTTATTTTTAGAGAGAAGAGGGGAAGGGAGGGAGAAAAGGGGGAGGAAAACATGAATATGAGAGAGAAATATTGATTGGTTGCCTCTCTCACGCCCCCCGACCGGAGACCTAGCCTGCAACCCAGGCGTGTGCCCTGACTGGGAAGGAACCGGTGACCTTTCGGTTTGTGGGATGACGCCCAACCCACTGAGCCCCACCGATCAGGCAGAATTCCCCCTTTCGAAAGAACACAGCCCATACTGTGGACCGTGTTTCCCTGTCACCGCTGACAACAAGGCTGGGTCTGATCGCTCTCCTGCTGCGGGACCAGCGCCCCCCGCCCCCCCCCCCCGTCTGCCCTCGAGAGGGGCGGCTGCTGCCCTGGGGGCTTCCAACCGCACTGCAGGTCACGTGCCCCACTGACACCCATGCGACACAGCCCTCACAGAGCATACACAGGGCCCGGTGCCCACGTCCTCCGTCCCCGCGGCCAGCTCTCTGGCCCGGCCTGGCTGAGTCCTGGGCATAGTCACGTTCTGTCCACGACGGCACAGCCCTTGTCCCCAGGCGGCCCAGCGGCCCTGGGCCAGTGGGGTGCCGCTGCACCGACCGCTGGGCGCCGGCTGCAGCAGGAAGCGGCGGTCCAGGCTGGGTCCCTGGGGTTGCCGTCGGGGTGCTAGGTGTCGGTCCTCTTGTGCGGGGGCCGCCTCTGAGACAGGGTGCCAGGGAGGGACGGCGAGTGTGCAGGGTTTTGGTGAGTTCTCCAGAGCCAGTCCGTGCCACTCCGTGCCGGGAAGTGCCCAGGAGGCTGGAGGAGAGGGACAGAGCCCAGTGTGTGCAGCCGGCAGGAGGACAAGCGCAGTTGGTGTGACAGAGCTTGGCCGGGGATGCGGAGAACAGCACCTCCCTGCCGCCAGGAGCGCCAGGGCCCGGGGTGTCTCTACCACCGCCCTCCGCCTTCTGGCCCTGTGGCCCCCACTCCCCAGTCCCTCCGCTCACAGGAGCCCTCCTCCCGACTGTACCCGGGGCTGGGCAGAGCCCCTTCGAGGCTCTCCTGGCACAACTACTGAATCTCCCTAGTAGTGGCCCCATCAGAGACGCACTGTCCCCTCTGTGAGCACGTGCTGGTCAACACTCACGTGACCTGTGGGTTACCCGGCTGCGGAGCGAGCCCCCGTGGGGGTCACCCCAGCCACCCCATGTGCCGCAGAGGGTCAGACACGGGTTCGTGCTGTGACCCGGCGTTGTCAGAACTCCCATCGCAGACGTGGGCCTTCTGTGCTGCCAGCCCCCTTCTGCACGGGCGTGACACTGCCCGAGCAGCCCCCCGCAGCCCCCAGTGACGGCACAGGGCGGCGAGTCTCCACCCGGAGTCGGCAGAGCCGAACACAGGATGCCGAGAGCAGCGGCAGAGGAAGGCCGAGTCTTTTCCTGCGAGCCACGCTGTCCAGGAGAGCGGGACGCTGGTGCTCAAAGCCCATGCTCCCTGGCAGCGTGTTGGTGACACAGGACACAGGGCCAAGTCCCAGGACCCTGGGGCCAGGGGCTTGGGGTCGTGCCGGGAGCCGACGGTCAGAGTGGGGGCAAAGGTGACGAGTTATCTCTCAGGTTTCGAGGGCGGCTCTGAGGTCTGCCTGTGACCCTCTGTCCAGCCCCGGGGAGGGGGGCGGGCAGCCAGGAGTGGCTCCAGCTCAGGGCTCAGCGGCCGAAGCAGAACTTCGGTCGAGAGGCCCTCTAGAGCCTGTGGAGGCCCAGACCCTGGGACCGCCAGTCGGGCCCGGGCTTCCATCTCCTGCTGCCTCAGGGTCGCTGCGTGTCCGGGGAAAGATGGGGCCTGGAGGGGCTCGAGGTCTCACCAGCCCTGTCCTGTGCTTCCTCCTCAGGTCGTCCACACGCACAAGCCGCACTTCATGGCCCTGCACTGCCAGGAGTTCGGGGGCAAGAACTACGAGGCCTCCATGTCGCACGTGGACAAGTTTGTCAAGTAAGTCCAAGTTCGTCAAGTTTGTCACGTGCCGAGCCCCTGCTTTCCGTGGAAACGTGGGTGCAGCCTCACCCGATAAAGCCCCGTGGGCGAGCTGCAGTGTTCCAGAGAGAAAAGGTGTGGCCCACGTGGGCAACAGCACGCCTCCTGGGGACACTGCAGGTGACAGCGCCTCCTGGGAGGGGTACAGCAGAGAGACAGTGATGCCTTGGGCTCAGAGACTTCAGCCCTGGGTCCCAGGTGGGGGATCCCACCTGTGTGTGCCAGGGGTCACACCTCGTGTGGTCTGATGGCTTCCAGCCTGTTGCTGCTGAGGATGGTGGACAGATGGACAGACAGGACAGGTTTCATGTAGCAGCTCACAGCTGTGTTGGTCACAGCGAGAGGGGGCAGAGCTCCTGCGTCTTTGGGGAGGGGCGCTCTGTTGTTTGGGAGGGAGGAGCCAGAGGCTGCTGCACCCACACCCAAGCCCCGTGGTTCTGCAGAGGAAGCAGGGGCTCCAGGGCTCGGCACGGACCTGGAAGTGGACGTGTGGGCCGTGGGCAGAAGCAAGTCGGAGGGGCAGGGTCTCAGTCTGTGAGTTCCCGCTCAGAAAGGCTGTGTCCCCGCCTGGCTGCCAGTGCTGGCGGCTGCTGGAGCACCTTCCTCTCTTCTGCTCTGCCTCTGGCCCAGGTGGCCTCCCTGCCTATGTGCACCGCTGTCTCCACCCCCGTGTCCCTACAGTGTGGCACTGCCTGCCCACCCCTGTCCCCAGACTCTGGGCACGGTGACTGCTCACCCCGAGGAGTGTGGGGAGGTAATATTTCCTGACTTCTGAGCTGGTCGCCCCAGGCTTCCGTGCCGGGGATGCGGGGGCAGGTGCCGGGCTACGGGAGGGTCCAGATCTGTGGACTTGCTCCTTCTTGACCTGCTGTTCAGCTGGGGTGCCTCCAGCCGCTGGTGCCAGCCTCGGGCCTCCTGTTGGGGTCCTCAGCACCCATCCATGTTTCCAGTTGTTAAATTGCGGGGAAATTTGTTAAAGGGCAGGTTTTTAAAAACTGCCAAGTTTTCCCTAAACTATAATTTTAGGGAATTCCAGTCATTCCAAATGTTTTCTCAGCACCTGACAGACTCCCAGTGAAGTGACCGTGGATGAGCAGAGGGTCAGGCCCGGCTGCAGGAACGGTGACTCCCAGTCTTCCTCCGCCTGTGCGGAGCCTCCTTGGGGGCGGGCAGCCAGGGCTGCGGTGTGGCCCCGGCCCCAGTGAGTGCAGCCCATGCACTTCCCCAGGCTGGTGCAGGAGCGAGTCACCGTGTCACCTACCGGGAAGCACAGAGTTGCATCCTGCTTCCCACGGCGGCTCTCTGTCTGCTCCCAAGGGTGGAGCGCAGGGACCGTGAGCTTGAAACGCGGGAGAGAAGTCCCACGGCACTGGGGTGGGCAGGGAGGCTCTGCAAACAAAGTGAAACTCTGGTCACACGTGGGGAAAGTTAGCTGCAACACACCTTACTGACGGAAATCAGTGCTCAGCACACGAAACCTTCCGTGTGTCAGTAAGAAAAGCAGCCGTTGGGGAACCGGGGCCTCGCCCAGCAGAGGGCGTGCAGGGGAGTTGCGGACGTCGGCTCGTCCATGGGCCCTACTGGCCCAGTCACAGCGGCCCCTTGCGTCCCGTGGTCCCGTCCTCCTGCCCTGCCCTGTCCTGTCCTCTCCTGGGGCAGGGGTTTGCACACGACACGCATCGTGTGGCTTGGCCTTCAACAGCCAGCGCTGCGCACGTCCCCGGGTCCACCTGCACTCCGAGGGGCTCCAGGTCTGCACCTGGCGCCGCCTCCCTTCGGCCTGGGCACCTCTCTGCCACGGCAGCTCAGCACCCCGCGAGTTCTCTCAGCTTCTGTTTCCTGAGACAGAGCCTTGGTGGTCCTCCCGTTTGGACAACGTTTTTGTTGCATCAGAACCCCAGCCCCTCCGAGTTCGTGCAGCCCTGTGGGGCCGCCCCTCATCCCGGCCTCGCGCTGGTCTGGGCAAGCGGAACCTCGCGCCCGCCTGCGTCCCGCACCCTGCTTCCTGCGCTGGGACCCTGTCCTGGGGGCCGGCTCGCAGCCACTCCACTGCCACGCTGAGTCTGGTTTTCTCCGAGTTCCTGCGGCGTCGGGCTCCTGGAGCTTTTCAGGCTGTAGGCTTAGTTTGAATCAGACTTCGGGAAAGCGTGTCTGCTATTTCTTTAAATGCTGTTTCTCGTGTCCTGCCCTTCCCTTGGTCCTTAGACCTGTTTGCGGGAGCAGGGCCCTTCCGCTCTCCATCTTCGGTCGCCTCGCGCGGTTTGGACAGTGTCTGGGGCTGCGTCTCCCCTCCAGGATCTCTCCTTCCGTAGGTTTCCGTCCACTCGTAGGTCCCGCCAGTGAGATTATTTCTGAAACTGCATTTTCCAGCTCTGGGAGTCTCCGGTGGTTTTCATATTCGCGTCTGTCTTCATGCTCACGGTTTCCCTCAAGTCCGTGGTCGCGTCCACGGCAGCTGCATCGAGGCTTTTCCGTGAGTCCGGCCGCCCCTGCCCTTCGTGGGTCTCCTTCTGTTGGCAGCTTTGCTGTAGCTCATGGGCCCTGCTCTGCTGCTTCTTCACGGGCCAGTGGTGTCTGAGGTGACGTGGCAGGAGCGTTCTGTGCCCGGGCTGAGCCTCCGTGTCTGAGGCTCGTCTCTTTCTGCAGAGACCTGGGGCTTTGCTCTTGCCCGGAGTCAGGGCCTGAGGATCCATTGGGTGCTTTGCAGGCTCGTCCTCTCCCTCCCCTGCCCCACGCACTGGCTGTCACATGGCACCTTTTCCTCCTCCGCGCCCCCAGCTGTCGTGGAGCAGGGGGTGGGGGACAGACCAGTGAGTGAGCAGGCAGGCCCCTTGCTTCCTGTGCCCACTCTGGTGCCCGTGGGGGTCTCCAGGGTGCTGGGGGCTCCTGCGCCAGCCTCGTTTACAGAGATCACTGGGAGGGCGCCTTCAATGGGCTTTCCTGGGTCTTAGCTCCTGCCACCCCTCCCTCCCTTTCCTCCCCCTTTCTTCCCCTTCTCTCTGCCTTGACCCACCTTCTCACCTCGGTCAGTGGTGTTTCCAGGGCGATGTCACACGTGCTGTCCAGGCCATCATGCGGGTGGGTGTCTGTGTGACTTGTGACTGAAGGACTCTCTTCCTTCCAGAGAGCTGCTGTCGAGTGACGCGATGAAGGAGTATAACCGGGCACGCGTCTACCTGGACGAGAACTACAGGTCCCAGGAGCACTTCACGGTGAGTGCCCGCACCCCGAGGGAGCGCCGCCGGAGCGCCGCCCTCTTGCGCCGCGGGGAACCGGTAGCTGCGTTGCAGGCTCCCCCGGGCCCGGCCAGGCTCCTGGGGCCCCAGACAGCCTCGGCGTGGGGGTCTCCCTCCACACAGCCGGGGGATGCCGCCCGAGGGGCTGGCCCCGGGGGAGAGAGACCCAGACCTCCGTGGGACTGGGAGAGCCTTGTCCCTCCCCTCTGGGAGTCCTCGGTCTGGGTGGCAGGGGACACCTGGGACGCAGCCCCAGCGAGGCGCACAGCCACAGGTACGGGGGCAGGTTCTGGGAGGAGCAGACACCGGCCGGGTTGCGAGCGGCTGGTTGCAGGTCTGGAGGACACGTCCACGCGTCCTGGCTGCAGAGAAGCTGTGGAGCCGCCGTGCAAGCTTAGCTTCCTCTGCCTTCTGTGCCCACGGCCCGTGCCGCCTCACCTTCGGCCCGTCGTGCCGCTCGCGCAGGTGCCTGTTTGCGGGCCTCTTCCATGGGGCGGAGTCGGCAAGGGTGCCTCGTTCCTCAGCTTGTCCTGCGCCTGGGAGCCCGGCCTGGAGCAGGCGCTGTGTGCTGGCTTCTGTGGGCGTGGGCGCCGTGGGCCCGGTGTGGGGAGGGGGCACCCTGTGCACGGAGCAGCAGGGGCAGGGATGCCCGTGTCCCCAGGCTGAGACAGTAACTTTGTCCTTTGGGTTCAAGAGGCTTCTGTCAGTTTCTCGTCTTGAAATTTGGGGCTTTAGTGCCACTTAGGTGGTGTCCTTCCATTGCTGAGACACCCACTGTCTCCAGAGTCGCGTCTCCACCTTTAGCTGCACCTGCCGTGTCCCACGTCCCTGGTGTCTCCTTGGCAGTACCTCCACTCCACTCCACTCCAGCTGGCCTTTCCTCCAAGCTGCTCAGACACCCTGAGGCCGCAGGCCCGCCATACCGGCTTCTCCAGCCCCGCAGGCGCCCCGAGGTCCGGACACAGCCCCTGCCTTTCTGCCCTGCTTTTCCCCTTCTCCCTCCTGGATGCTTCCTTTAAGTAAACCCTCCCCAGGCACGCTTTCCCCTGCGATAACCCAACTCCCTGCCCGCTCCAAGCAGGACTTCCCGGGTGAAAACTGCGGCGGCTGGAGGAAAACACACTCGTCGGGGCTGACAGCTGGGTGGGGGCTGCATCAGAAAAGACGGTGAGCTTGAAGATGTAGCAGTGGAGACTGTTCAGAATGAAGCACACAGAGGGGACGGGTGAAGAGTCACAGGGCGTCACTGCCCTGCGGTCGGTGTCAGTGATAGACGTGTGCCTGGGGTCCCCGAGGGCGGGGGGAGGAGACGGACAGACGCGTGGGGAGATGATGCATGAGTCTTCTCGGTCTTCGATGAGAGCATACGGACCATAGAGCCAGTCCTAGCGAGCTTCGAGCAGGATGCACTTCGTGTGCCGCGGCACACCTGGGTCAGACGGCCGCCGGCAAGCTACACAGAGGGCCCCCCTTCCACTGCCGTGCTCAAGCGTCGGTCTCTGCCCACTGCCTTGGCTCTGCTGTGAACGCCACCGAGTCCCACGGCAGGCATCGGTCCCCTCGTCCTCCTGTAAACTGTCCTTGGGCCCTCGCAGCCTCCGTTACGTAGAGGACACGTGCGTTTTAAAACACGAGGGTGAGGACAGTGTGCTTTGCAGACACAAGGTGAACGGAAGCAGGAGAGGCTGTGTCAATGCCAACCTGGACTTCAGGTCGAGGAGGTTTCCAGGGCGGAGGGCGTCTCGTAGGGTAGGGGCCGGCTCCTCAAGTGTGTGCGCGCCCGGCACGGGGACGCACCCCGAGAGCCGAGAGCTGAAAGGACGCACGGACCTCGGTCCGGGCAGTGGGCACTCTCGGTGATCGACACTGCATGCGGACAGAAAGACGTCATGACCACCGTGACCTCATGACCCGTGGGACCCCAGTGAGACACCAGCATGTGCAGCCGCAGAGGAGGGCACAGCACCAGCAAGGGCGAGGGCAAGAGGGGCACAGACCGGGGGGGGTGGCCGTCAGCTCCCGCCGCCCCGCAGAAGTGGCTGTCACTTGAAGACTGGAGGGTTGCGAGAAGACTTTGCAGGACAAGGGCTCGCCGCGGGGCTTTTCCGCGCCGGAGCCGGGCAGCCTGTGGCCGGGGCGTGAGGCCGTGTCCGGGGCGCGAGTCCAGGCCTTTCCCCCTGGCTGCTGCAACGCAGGCCGTTCCCACGCCTGGACAGGACAGGCCTTTGTGTCCACACGGGCCGTCCGCCAGGACACGCCGAGATCTGGGCCATAGACAACCTCCGCGTGTCTGAGGGACTGAGAGCATCCACACCGTGTCCTCTGGCCGTAGAGGAGGTGAGCTCGAGGTGAACAAGGGGGAGAATGAAAACTTCCGAACGCTTGGGAATAACTTGTCAAGAACCTAAGTCAAAGAGGAAGTCAAGGGAAATGAAAAGAGATCTCCAATTACATAAAAAAATAAACAGATTCTTCAGAATGTATGAAATACACCTTGGAGAAGAATTTTTAGCATTAACTGCTCACGCTGGAAAATCTTCAGTGCAGAGCAAATTAGCCGGAAACAACTGGAGGGAGGAAACGGTGAAGCCACAGCGGGAATCGACACAGGAAGAGAATGACGGAGAGTTCAGTGAACTGGCTCCTGGGAAAGGTCAGCAGCCTGAGCCGCCGTCCCCAGAGGACCGGGACGGAGTATCTGGGACACAGACCGAAGCCACGGGCCCCTCGGGCAGTCCCGGACCGGCCCCTGAGCTGGGGCACGCCGTGCTGAGAGTCCGGCGTCGCTTACTGCACAGGCGCCGCCTCCACCCGCACGTCAGAGGACGCTGTTGAGGCTCCTCGCGCGTTCAGAGGCCTCAGAAACAGGGAGGGAGGGACCCCGGCGCCTGTGCCCGCAAACCTCGGCCTCGTGGGAGCCGGGGCCTGGAGCTCCCCCATGCTGCCCCGCACGGAAGTGTCCCCGGGCCTCGCGTGCTCCTCCTCCGTGCTCTGCCGGTGTCCCTCGGTGCACGCTAACATGGCAACTTCCCCTCCCCCAGCCAGAGCGCCTGGTCGGCGGTGCAGAGGAACAGCGGGCACTGGGGGGCGCCAGGGCCAGCGGCTCTGTTTGGTCCCGCCTCGTCCCTTGAGGTCCACCTCCAAACATCGTCTCTCCACTTGCATGGGGAACAAACACCTGAAAAGCTAGCATTCCCACAACTCACCCATTTCCCTGAGGAAATAACTGTTCTTGCCAGCAGTTGTGTATCAGGATGGTCCTCAAAAATGAAACAATAGCACAAATTGGAAGTAATTTTAAACACCCAGAGTTTGAGGCCTTCACACGGTGGAACCATCTGCCACAGGACAACCTCTGTGACGGGTTTTACGAAGGAGGTCCCCTCCGGGGCTCTCGGGGAGCAGGCAGGCTGCGTCCCACGCTGCCGCCGCTGCAGGGTCTCGCTGCCGGGCTGTGCACTGAAGCATCGTGCTGGGCGATAACATGGCCCCCAGTCCGTTCTCCAGTGCAGGGGTTTCAGACGTCAGACCACTGGAGCCACGGTGCGCCCCGTCAGAACTGGCTGCCAACTGTGCCCTCCTCATAAACACAGCAATGGCACCTTAGCTGGGGACACGCCGGCTCCGCGGCCGGGGCCTGAGACGGGGCAGCGTGTGGGGCCACCTTGGGCAGACGGGCCCGGCACAGGCATGAGGCCCCTGAGGCTGTGTGTCCTGCTGTCCGCAGGACGGGACAGCTCTGGGAGCGGGGGAGGAAGGCTTGCCCATCCTCCAAGGATGTGGGGCGTCACTCGCATCCCTCTAGTCCAGTGGTGCCTACGGCCTGGCCTCCTCTCCAGGGTGGCGTCCAGTGGGACAGTAGGGACAGCTGCACGTGGAGGGTGAAAAGGGGCCGGCCGTGGGGCAGCTGAGGCTGGCCCAGGGAGAGGAGCGTGTTTGTCATCCGCCGCCTGACTGAGAGGTGATGGTTCTCGAGGAAGTTCTGGTAGACCCTGCGCCTGTCTGTGATGCTGTCCCCTGCATGCCCGTCCGTCACCCCTCGGTGGTCATGCATGGGACTGACTCTGCCGGGGGCCTCTGGACATCCTGCAGGAGGGGCCCTGCCCCCCCTGGGGTCCTGGGCAGGGCTGAGCAGTGCTGGCCAGCCGAGAAGCCACCCTCCTGCCCCAGCCTGGTGGCCTTGGGCTGTCAGAGGGAGGAAAATTTAATTTTTACAAGATTAATGGTATTGGAGTGATATTTTTAGCTGAGTGTGGTTCAAATAATAGGCCATTAATTGAAAAAGGAAATTGAAATGAATTTATCTTGTACATAAATGCTGTCACGGGTATTAATAGGGATCAGAAAATAGTGGCCTGTTCCCAGAAAGATGTTGAACCTGACGCTGCACCTGGTGCGTGGACGTGATGGGGGATTTGCCGCGGCTCAGGATCATGGGCGGGGGGTCTGGGCCAGAGGGCGGGCTTCAGGCCTGGGGGGTTGTGCAGCCTGGAGGGGCTTTGGGCGGGGGGGGGGGTGCCTTGGGCCTGAAGGAGACCTATGCCTGGAAGTGCTTGGGCCCTGGGGGGGGGGGCGGCGGACGGAGGCCATAAGGGGGACTGGGGGCAGGGACGGACCCCAGAGAGGCGGGAGGCAGCCGATGTCCATCTTCACCAGCAGATGGCATCAAAGCAGCGTTTCCTGTCCTGAGCTTTCGGTACAGGAGGTGCTCAGCCAGCGGTGTATAGACTTCAAAGTGATTAGGTTACATTTCGTTTGCTCCTAAGAACCGTGCTTAGTGGCCATTACGGAAGCAGGAGGCTCGTCTGGTCCGTTTGGGGCTGAGAAGACAGGTAGTATCCCTGCCCCAGGCCTCTGCTGCCTGTCTCCTGGCGGTGCTTTCCCCTGGAACGTGAGGGCTGGACACCTGTTCCTTCCCAGGAATTGCCGGTCTGATGTGGTGACACTGGCCCTGACAGGCCAGGGCCCCGTCCTGT